ACAGCCATGGTCACAGTCACCCCGGTAAGTGTGGCCCAGGGACGTGGGCTGTCTGTGCCCGGTGCCCCTCCTCACTTAAGTCCCCCACTTGCATGCCATGTGCCCCCCTCACCCAGGTTGCTGTACCCAGGTACCCACACGGGAGGCCTCTTCCAGTGGGATGAAGATGCTCAGACAGCACCAGATGCTGCTGGTGCCTTCTCATCCCGAGCCAGTCATGCCATGGGATGTGGAGACACCTATCCCACCTGTGCCCACCCCCGAGGGACTGAGAGGCTGGAATGCCCCCTTCTGGCCCACAGATGCCCCCAACCCCACAGCACCTGAGAGAGCACCCAAAGAGCTGGGCTCAACAGCCAACTGGAACATGGACACCACAGCCAACTGGAACACAGATACCACAGCCAACTGGAACATGGCACTGCCCACACCCGGCACCACTCAGGAGCCCTCCGGACCCCCAGGCACCAGCCCCACACCATGCCCTGGGGATAAGGAGCCAGCTGAGACCTGTGGGGAGCCCACAGAGAAGCAGCGGGCAGCTGTGGCTGAGGCACTGGGCACCTTTGCCCTCCGCTTCTACCAGCACATGGCAGAGGCTGCTCAGCCTGACGCCAACCTGCTCTTCTCCCCTATCAATGTGGCCATGGGGCTCTCGCACCTGCTGCTAGGTGAGGGGCTGCCCATGGGCACTGGGGCCACTGTGGGCATTGCAGTGGGCACTCATCCCCCTCAGGGGACCTCACTGAGCTTCCCCTATGCCTGCAGGCTCCCGCGGCGAGACCCATGAGCGGCTGGGCAAGCTCCCCTGCGTGCATGGTGCCCTGCAGCAGCTGGCCAGCGCACCCGGCCTCTTCTCAGCTGCCCAGATCTTCCACCACCCAGGTGAGGGAAGCACTGGGTACCACTGGGGCACTGATGCCAGGTGGGCATAGGGCTCATGCTGGCTCTGCTACCACGCAGAGCTGCACCTCCTGCCGCGCTTCCTCAATGACTCCTGGCACTTCTACGGTGCCCACCCACGTGCCTTGAGCGGCAACGAGAGCCTGGACCTGCAGCGCATCAATGCCTGGGTGCGGGAAGCCAGCAAGGGGCTGCTGCCCACCCTGCTGTCTGCACTGCCCCCCCAGCCCCACCTGCTGCTGCTCAGTGCTGTCCACCTGCATGGTATGGCCCCACCACCTAGATCCACCTAGGATCCACCCAGGATCCACCCAGGTTGCACTGGGGATCAGGTATGGGGCTGAGGTTGCCCCACACAGCCCCCCAGTGCCCCTCACCCCCAGCCCT